GTAGCTTTGCGCGAAATTCAAAAACAAACAAACAATTCTCTTTCATTCTATCTCTCCTGTAGGGGTTTGAATTTTTTTATGAAATATTAACGCTAAACGTCTCCCAAGGTCAGTAATTTTTGGTATTTCTCCCCTTTTAAATTTGCATATAGGTTTCTATCCCTAGGATTTTATTTCTAGATCTAAAAAAAACGCACTTTTTAAATGGACTGCGGAGGTCACATATGTAAATATCACTGAAGAAAACTTTGTCACTACAAAAACAAAGAACGACCCAAAAATTGGTGACTGTGTGCAACTTTTGAAACTTCATAATAAGCAGTGGAGTATTTTGGATTTCTGTAGAAACAATTAATTTCTTGAGGAACCCTGATTACACCAATAAGTTCTTTTTTTTTTTACCTATCAAGCAAACTCGTTTTACTTAACGTAAGGATGACAAGAAATCACTTGATTCTTGAAGCCTGGAGAAAAGTAAAAGATTAGCACAAAATTTTCACCCATCTCTTATTTTTCAGTAAATTATTAATTCTTGTCTTAAATTCTTGTAAAGTCTTGGCCTACACTACTGCCGATGGGGACTCATTCCATAAGCTAATCACGTTGTTAGAAAAATAAAGTCATCTTAACTAGAGCATATCCCGTCTTTTCCAATTAGTAGCCTTGGGTCCTTTCGTCCTATTATCGTCAGAGTATGGCACAAAGAAATCGGAGGCGTTTCTCCTACGGATCAACAGGATAATCTTGTAAACTTCAATAAGACCCCCCCCCCCCTTTTTGTAGCTGAATATCAGTAATTAGTAGATCAACGGTGATCATAATATATTATCTTGAAATTTCTTCTTTCCTAATTATAAAATAATGTCTTTTTCTAGTTCAAGACTAATAAGTCCAGAAGAAGAAACATGTATTAGGTTATTTATGTACAGGTAGTGCTGTCGTCCAATGGTTCGAAGTTGGTGTAGTCCCTTCTATATAATTACATGTTGAACACGTTTTTCTTGTGTACTCTGTTTGCATATATAGTTACGGATGAGGGTGGTGGGGAAGTGAGAGTAGTGATGGAAGAATATAATTGGGCCAAATTGGTAACCCAAAACTGAAGTGTGTTTCGAGGGGAGGAAGTGGGGGAAGAATAAGTAGTGATTCATATAGTCCAGGTGTAAGTACTTCATAACATTGATCTTGTCGTTTAAGTTCTTGATTTATGATAGACAAGTGTTATAAGCTGTTTTCTATTATTTTTAATAAGCGTTTATAGTTAGAAATACACATTTTTTTTCTGCATATTGTTTCTACATGGAAATTAATTACATTGTTCTGTATTGCTGGAGGTAGTTAAATTTTCAGACTGTAACAGGGTAATAGTTAATATTATCTCAATATTTTTATTGTAAAATAACTCGTATGAAACATTTAATATTGCTCCCTTCCCGTCAAAGTACAGCGTGCAAAAGGCACCATGGTCTCCAATGTTATTGTGGGAGGGTCGCAGCATTTGTATTCTTTCACAAGCCTACGTGCCAAAAAATTGACGAGCAGGTCAAAACCAGGAAGTAACGAGGGTAAAATGTAAATACTGGTAGGATGATATGCCGTTATACTTACAAGGAGAATGCATGGTTATTCTTTAAGTTCAAGCATTATGTCACACTTAAGTATTATCTTATACAATCTTTTGCTGGTCACATAGCAGAGAACTGGCCATTGCATACTAGTATCAAATTTTCTTAATTATCTTAAAGGTAGATAATAATAATAATAATAAAATAACAACAATTTAGTATGCGTACATCAGATTCTGTCAAATGTAGTCTGTAGCCTTTTGACAACAAACTTTCTTTGTAATTAATTGTCATTTTTGTTTACATCTTCGTTTCTTTTGAATAATCCTGTTCTTCATGATGTTGATTTACTTCAAATTAATACTGATACATTAATTTTAGAATATAAATTGGCATCTATTGCAGTTACAACAATTTACACTTGGAATCAGTAGGAAAGAGTTGCAAGGTGGGTGTGTGTGTGTGTGTGTGTGTGTGTGCTTGGCTAGATTAGTGTACTAGTACAATTGATAGTTGCTATATAATTAAATATGTACAAGTGGGGTGCTACAACACCCCCGGTTCCGACGCCTCTGCTTGAAATCATTTTGGGTTATTGAAATTTAGATCTGCTTATGCTGTTAACGTTTTGTATTCTTACAGAATACTACAATGTAAAGAAAGTCTGTAACCTGAATTACTTTAGAAATGGGACATGCAATTATGTATAAAGTTTAGTGAACCAATTGTTTGTGTTATTCACACTCGTTTCTTTTGTAGGTCGTGTATAAACATTGGTTAATTCGTATGCATTGAAATATGTTTGGAATAGATATTAGCTATATTTTTTAGTCTTTTTATATGTTGACTATCCCAGAAAATTATGTTTAATTAGTGAATTTATTTAGTTTTATTTTTCATTGTGTTTTAAGGAGAAAAAATGCGTTTCATTATTAGATTCAATTAAAGTACTGCACGAGAGGCTAGTGATCGCTAATTATTGTTATTATAATTTTTTGCTGTGGATTACAGGTCTGGTACTTCCATCGTCATTTGAAAAGTCTCTCGTTTCATTGAAATATGCAGAATCAACAAAGGCTACATCTCGTGCAGCACCGACTGCCATCGTCCGTTCGTCAAGGACGTCAGACAGGAACGAAAAGTTAGAACGTGAGGCATTATTCCAGATGGCATTGGAAACATGCCCTATGCTTTGGATACGTCCCCAGTCGACCCCTACTGAAGGTGTGACAGCATCTGGAAGCAGTGTAAACAATAAGTATGACTCAGAGCAAAGGGTGAGCAGCATCACTCAGGCTCTTGGCACGAGAAGCATCGCGCCTTTCCTGGGAGGTGGTAATGTGCGCTGTGACCAGTCGAGGAGCAGCAGAGACAGCGTTTCTCTGATATATCGAAGTAGCTCCACGTCCGCGTTGCTCACAGATAGTTCCGACATACACAACGCTGGTGCTGATGGGAGAGAGCATGCGTCACTACTCGAGTTTGAAACACGTAACTATAATTTTTGTCTTCCAAAGCAAACTAACAGTTTGGAGAGCCTTGTGGGTTCGGCGATATCCCCATATAACAAAATGTCTCAGACGATGAAGACTAAATCTCAGCTTGGGACGCTTTTTGAGGAAAATTTTAATGAAGCCTGTGAAAGAAAACTCGCGACGTCGGAGCAGCGTCATTGTGACCTTCAGTTTTCTACTACCGATGGTTCACTTCAGCATCGGTCTGATGAATCGGGTTACGATAGTGACAGCACAAAAAACAGCAGCGAAGAGGTTCCGCTTGAAGAAAAACATGACACATTCAAAGAAAATTATGGACTTTCTCCTTCTCTAAAAACAATACCACAGGTTAACAACAGTCCCGTTCATGTAGAACACTGTGCAGCACATACGAATAGGCCGACAGAAAGTAATCTTCAAAAATTTGCCATGTTTTTACAGAAATTGACCAGTTCGGGGCCAACTGGTCACTTCCACCGTATAGGTCACAAAAGGATAACGAATGATAATGATTTCAAACCATCTTATAAAGGTGAAATTCAAAACTTTTCGTCACAAATGCGAAAACCTTACTCAGAGTTTGTGCAAAACAAAGAAAATCAACAGTGTGATTGGAGCAAAAAGAAACAAAAAGAAAGCAGCAGTTTAACATCACCTATAACCTCTGACTCAGAAACTAAAAAAGATAACTCCAAATTCGAACAATTTAAAGCGTGGACTTTAGATCGCAAGCTACTTAAGAACAAGCGAAAGAAAACACCACAACAGTTTGTATGTGAAGAGAACAGTTCGCAGGCCAGCGATACTGCTAAGAGAAGTAGTCTATTTGTACCTTATTTGAATACAAGTCCTTCGGTAGATGAGATCTATGGAAGTTGTCTTGATTCATCATTTCACCACGAGACTCTTCAAAGGAAAAAAGAACATGTTACCAATGGGGAAACCCCACTTCGTGACCATGTGTGTGGTGATCTGAACTATCAATTAAAATTTAAAAAGTCCAGTCGCTCTGTAGTGTCTTCCCTTAATGATAAGAGGAGAAAACAATGGCTTGAGGATGGGCTTAATGCTAGTGAAAGATTAATATCACAAGAATCTAGTATTGGTTGGTGTCAAGATAGATCGTTTTTTCAACTCGAGGGAGATTCTCAAACTTTTGTTGTGAGGTTAAAGAAAGACAGTCTAAATGAACTGCGAGTTTATATTAGTCCTAAAGAAGAGAATCAGTCGACTAAGAGGTACATTATAGCAAAATTAGAAAACAGCAGCCCAGTACAGAGGTACGTGGATCAATTGTTATTCAGTAAATGACGAATGTTTATATTATTTGGCTTACTTTCAAAGTAGATGTTTTCACAGCTCTTTCTAATTCTAGTTTACAATGTCAGTCCAAACTAAAAATATGTAAGAAAAAGTTCTGTACAGGAGATTTTAGACTGAATTCTGATTCCCAAGAAGAAGCGTTTACATTATAGTTTACTATGTAAACTATTTGTAGATATGTTTTTCGTTGTATTAAAGCATAAAGAAAACGTATTTTAGTATTAAGTATAGCCAGAACGTTCCAGTTATATTTCTGTTACGAAACAACAATTATTGTACGTCATATAAGCTGTTCTTTTTACGTTATTTCATGTTTTCGAACACACCACATAATTTTTCGTCATATTGAAATGGTTAGACATTTCTGTCCTGCACATTCATATCTATCACACAACTTCCATAAATACGTGTAACTTAGTTTATTACACATCACGTTACATTTAATACGTCAAAGTACATTTTGCTGAATAGAATGCATGTACGTAATGTGGACAAAAAAAATGTGAGCAACTACTATTGTTTGTTGAGTTTCGAGCAAAGCTACTCGAGTGCTATCTGCGCTACCCGTCCTAATTTTGAAGTGATAGACTAGAGAGAAGGTAGCTAGTCAACACCACCCAACGCCAACTCTTGAGCTGTTTTTGTCAGACCGAATATTGGAATTTGACGGTTAATGTGCAGAGCATATATATTTTTTTTTGCTTATCTAATTATTTATTCGCAGTAACTCGGATCCACAGTTTGGCATACTATCTATTGGGCCACGCCCGGCCCCAGCAACCATTGTAGTTTTCATTAGTTGGTATAATTTGTGCGATCACGGACAATACAATAATAAAAATATACTTTTAATGAAGATTAATATAAACGGGCAGATATCTTAAGTATATTATGTTATTCAACAATTAGCTACCTCAACGTCCCACAGTTTCAGATGGGCCAACTTAAGAACGACGCTGTTCAAATAATCTTCAGCATTACGAAGTTCAAACTTGTGAATGTCATTCCAAGAATATCTTGGATAATTTTATTAGCCTTATATTTCATATTTCTTTTAGCGCAGTATCACTAAAAATAATAGTTTGGAAAATTCGAATCTCTATTTTATTTTAATTTCAACCTTTAAATAAATATCATCATAACAACTACATAACTATTTAACAAACCGTAGTTTTTACTTGTAACTTTAGAAATCATTTATTCTATATATATTAAAAACGTATGCTCAAAATATTTTATAATATCCTTTTAACAACTTATTCAATAAATATACGGACTGAAACCATAGCAATGGTATCTCGTGGATAACCTACAAAGCAAAGAAGTTAAGCCCGATAATAACACAGGTCTGGGATGGTTTTTATTGTCTTGATATTTTAAATGTTCTACAGTAATTCTTGTGCTCTGAATCTGAAAATTATATCTATTTTTTCTATCACATACGGATTTTTCACAAAACGTCATAACGCAATACACAAAAGAAATACTATAACACATAGTTTTGAGACCAAAAGTCGTAGATATCACTGAAAAAAATCGGAATGAATGAGGATGAACATTCGTTTGACATCAATATTCTTCTCTTTTCTTCAGTTTGTTTGTATTTTTGTTGACAAACATAATGATAAGTAATGTTCATTGTGGTAAACAAAATAATAATTTGATCTAAGTAAAAGTATTTTTTCTTCCCAATTTGCAAAAAAAATCCTTACGTGATAGAAAAAAAAGAAAAAGAATGTTATTTTCGAAGTCTGCGTAGCTGAATTATGAAAAATCCGTCATTAAAACCAAAGCAACTTTTACGAAGTTTAAATTCGCAGGCCTGTGTAATTGGAGGTTCTCAGGCGTGGGCATATATTTCCCGATGAGTTGTAACAGTTAAATCAGAAAGAAAGACTAGACACAGGTTTATAAACAGAACAAACACTTCATGGTAATTTTCACAAATCACAGTACACTGTAATAAAATAAATCATAGTACAAGTGACTCTGTGTGTGGCGTTGGTGTGTGAATAACAAGAACTGAAGAAGACTGTAATAGAAAAACGAAGAGCCCTTGTCAGTGCATGTTGCCCCCCTGTGAACTACTGAGAGGAATTAAGAGAAAAAGCTAAACGGAAGTACATTCCAAGTTAAGTTAAACGTCACATTACTTTCATCTATGTTAAATCGCAGATCTTATTTGGATTTCACAAATGCAGCTTAAAACACATTAAACCGTTAGTTGTGGAGCCAACAATTCAATCTAAAACTGTTCTGTCTCGCTATGAAGTAATGCTAATACAAACACTAATTGGCCAAATGTGACAACAATACTTTAATCCCCTCTCGCTTAAAGCCAGATCACACTACTCGCACAACATTCAAGAAATCAAACCAATTTGCTCTTGCCCTGTGAGTCACTCGCTGTGCAATACTTAAAATTAAACATCACAATACAAAACAATACTAAATGCGTTACAAAGCTCACTCACTCACCTTTTTCACGAGAGGATGGTCTAATAATTTGGATTATTAAAGGCCCTGTAACGAAGAAAACATTTAAAATTTGATGACATATTAAATTAAAAACTCTTTAACTGAGTTCTTAAAAATATTTCAATGAAAAAATGTATCTCCTTCTGAAAAAAATGGTTTAACAAACTATGCTTAGAATATTACATACATAAATTAAAATACTTGATATAAATTCCACTTTAAAGCAAACCCATTAAGAGTGGAAACATTAGACACTATAAGAATTAAAACCCTTTAAAATTTAAACTTTAATTTAGACATATATACATACACTGTTTAGCAGAATGGATTAAGCTAAGCTATGCATAAACGATACAAAATACATGAAAATATTCCTTTCACTAGTTAAAACATTAACATATATAAATAGACCCTCTAACAAATAAAACAATAATTAATGTTAACAAATGGTCATCCAATATTAGAAGCCAAGGCCTTAAACATTGCTGGTGGAATGATGAAGGTTGATGCCCTGGTATCGAGCTTCTTAGAGACTGCTGCCACAGCTGGTTTCACTCTCGTTCACATAGCCAGAGTGGCAGCTGCCACTTTGGGGGTGGTTTTTACTGGCATGTTGGTGGTATGGGAAGAGGAGATGGCCTTCTTCCATTTTCATCGGTATTAGCTTTGGAAAGCTTATACTCAGTACAGGAAAATCTGGACTGTTTCCTGAAGCTTTTCAAGCAATTCACTGGTTAGGATAGCTGGACTTTGGACCTAAAAGTGCAGCATTTGATCTTGAGTTAGGATGGGCCAGCTTTTGATTCCATTGATCAGTTGAGTTAAGAGCAAATCTGGTATATAGTTGTATCTGATGTAATGACATTTTAACCCAGTGGAGAACATAGTGATCCATTGAGCTGAATTTAAGGCTGAAAATGGGACTTCTAAGAGCTTGAGTTGTTATGTAGACATAGTAAGGCATACCTTGTAACAGATTTGGCAGATTGTAAGAACATTCTCATAGATAGTTTATCATGGGCTATCTGTTAAGATGATGAGGCGTGGGAGATCTTTTCGCCCTGATGGAGGGAGTTTCTATGGCAGTGACATTCAAAATCATAACTTTGATTAAGTCACAAGAAAAGAAATCCATAGCTGCAATGACTGTACCATGGACAGACCACCTTTCTGAAGTAAATGCATCATGTCAAGTTTGAGCTTTACCAAAGGCAAACCACAGCCAACACATCCTGGCACTGTGATACAACCCCACCGAATATGAATAAGTCGGCAGGGCTGCTCCGGCCCTAGATGATGCCTCTATTTGAATGTCAATCTATAAAGAAAGATCAAGGCATGTGGTGTGGGTGTTAGCAACTGGGTCACTTTAAACTGCCCATAACTTGTCATGCAGCAAGGTAGGTAAAGTTATCAATTTTCAACAACTGCACACCAGGTGCAGGGTAATTGGCAGCAAACTGTAACTGTTGCCACTTTAGCTATGGAAAATAACAAAGCCATATTTTTCAATGGGAATAACTAACAGAGATATGTTTAGTGAGAAAGAATAGCATTATTGTTTCATGTAACTAATGCTAAGTTTCTCAGTCTGGAAGCTCTAGTAAAAATGATGCCCTTCATCACACTCATCATGTTTGATTGTATTCTGTTGAAATAAATCAAGATCGATTCACATTGTTATAAACTGTTTCAAGTTACTTCCATTCTTCACAACTCAAAGTCAGAATACAGTTTAACTGTGTATAACGTTCTGTCTAGTTATTCTGCAGATCCTACCTGATTTCTCTAAGGAAAATCGGTGCACCTAAGAATATTACATTTGTGATTGAAACTGCTTCTGATCCGGGGGAGGGGCCAAACAACACTCAAACCTCAAGTTGTTTTCAATATAGGTCAAACATAGTCTGAATAAATATGTGAAATCATGTTTAACTTCACAAATAACTTCATATTCATATTTGTATAGTCCACACAAATATTATATGACATAAAATTCTTGTGTAATGACAGAATTGTTCCTGCTAATATTAAAAAAATCCAAAAATAGTTTGAGATATACCAATCAAACACGTTTCTAAATGAAACCTATTCAAAAAAAACAATAATTACACTATGAATGCTGTCCCAAGATGGGTCAGCGGTAAGTTTACAGATTTATAGTGTTAAACTCTGTGTTTCGATTCCCTGTGGTGGACAGAGTGCAGAAAGCCCATTTTGTAGTTTTGTACTAAGAAAAACAACAACAACAACTATGCATTCTTAATTTTGATTGACCAGCTAATTATATTGTGATTACACCTTTTAAGACAGTCCCATAACCTGTGAATACTTCAGTTACCAAAATTGCAATATATTTCTTCACCAACACTATCCAAAATAGTAAGTACACCAGTTTTTTAGTTGATGTGGTGTATACTTCCTAGTAATGCTTTGTCTTTCCTTAAGTAAGAGTCGCATGCTCTTGAATATTTCGGTT